TACAACTTTCTTACTACTTCCTACATTCACTAAAATCTTATGAACTCACCAGCTTAAATGCTGATCTACGCTTTCAAAATAACTTGTATTCTCTGGAGACCAGTAGACAGGTACGCGCACTGGGATTCAGAAGATGGAGCAGTACAGCTTTATGTCTTTTTGTTATTTGCTATGTATTCTATATTATGTGAATCACATACTTTGTAAGCACTTTCTTTCTAATTAAATGGTTGTTTATTACTTCGCTTACTATGATGCATGACTTGTGATACTAAACATGACGTCCTCCGCCCCAGAACATTTCCGCCGTTCCGGTTTTGGGGTGTAAGAAATGGTGACTGGCCCTCCAATGGTGTTTATCAAGAAATTGTCAAGGAGGTGTCTTAGAAGGGGTTATGTGGTCGGTGGCACCTGAGTCCACAACCCAGTCATCATCATCAGTTCTTATTCTACCTGTCATGTTAGCAATGATAGGCTCTTCGCGGTTTTCCCTAAACAGTTCCAAAAAAGTATGTAACACCCTGACTCTCAGGTATAAACTTTACAGCCTTATTTCCACTTTGAAAGTTCTACTTGACGAGTTGGATGCCCTGACTCGTCGAGTTGGAGGATACAACTCGACGAGTTGGAGCTGGAGGATGAAACCCTAATTTCCAGGGTTTTGCACCCTGTTTAAAGGGTCCTTAGCCTCCCTTACAGCCCCCCTTGAGCTCAGAAAACCTAAATCGTGTTTACTCTCCATATTTGTGTGTTTTTAAGCTTAGAAGGTGGATCTTGGTGAGAAGATCTTGAAGTTCAAGAAGCTTGGAAGAAGGAGAAGTTGTAGATCCGAATTCTACTCCATCTTAGCATCACTTTGAAGGAAATAAGTCGTTGCATGGCTCTCCATTAGCTAGATCTCTTCATTCATGGTTTTAGAACCCTTTTTGCTGTATTGTTGTGGTATTTCTGCTTTTGGGGAAAGATCTGAGGTTGTAACTTCAGATATGGACTCCTTTAGCCCCTTATTGTCACAAAGTTCTAGTCTTTGTCAAGCTATGGCCTTCTCCTTGCCTTAAGCTTCTTCTTTAGCTTAGTTTTGGATCTTAAGACCTTGCATGCACGTAAAGTTTGCAACTTTACGTGGTAATTAGGCCCTAGGAGACTGGATCTACCAATTGGAGCATTGGAGTAGCTTAAAAATCATTTGGACAAGAAATGGACTCCATAAACTCGACGAGTCGCATAGACGACTTGGCGAGTTCGATGAAGGTTTACCGTGTTTGGGTTCTGCATGGACTCAGCGAGTCAGTAGGGGGACTCGGCGAGTCAGTAAGGCTTTTCCCCGACTTCTGGACACGCATGGACTCGACGAGTTGGTTGGAAACTCGGCGAGTCAGTTAGGGTTTCATGACTTCCTGAGTTCTTAAGGAACTCAACGAGTTGCTAGATGCACTCGAAGATTCGGGTCAACATTGACCGTTGACTTTGACCAAGGGTTGACCAGTTGGACTTTGAGGGTATTTTGGTAATTGGGATTCTGATGGACTTGGTTCTATGGTGGTGATAGGTGGTTGAGTTCGTAGCTGTGATACGAGAGTTTTGCATTATCACTACAGTTCGACATCTGTGAGGTGAGTTCACCTCATTATATCAACAGGGTCTAAGGCACCAATGTCGGCCCTTATCGGATTTGTATTCGGGTTTATTGCATGATATGCTTATTGATTTACATCCTGGTGATATGCTTAGTGACCTGGTTAGGTCGGTATTCTGGTATATAGGATGATGCTATGTTAGTGACCGGTTAGGTCTGTATCCTGGTTATAGGATGTTGCTATGATTGGTGATCGGTTTGACTGATATATATGCTAGTGTATGATATTTATGTGCACATGTTTGTTTGATTGGGGGTTGGGTTGAGGCGGTCCTGCTTTATGCTGAAGGCCAACATACCCAGGGCGGTCCGGATAGACTACAGGCCCAGGAGGGCATGTTAGTTAAACCGAAGGCCCGGCGAGCGGTCTGGATCGGCTGTAGGCCCTGCAAGGCGCTCCAGACATGCCGAAGGCTTAGAGAGCGGTCCATATAGGCTGAAGTCCTGCGAGGCGGTCCAGTCAGGCTGAAGGCTCATTATGCATGTTGTTTGCTTATATGTTATTGATATGTTTTATGGTGTTGGTATTTTGAGGGTAACTCACTAAGCCTTCGAGCTTGCATTTATTGATTATTGTTTAAGGTACTTCTAATGATCCCGGAAAGGCGAAGGCGTGATCGTACAGCTCCTCATATTTCATGATTTTATGATTTGATTCTGGGATACTCTGACATTATGCTATTTTGAATACAAGTTTTGTAATAATCATGGGTTTTGAAATGTTTTAAAAAGTTTAAATTTGGCATGATTTTTATGAGTGTTACAAAGTAGAGTATTGTTCTTCCGGCATGCCCGGTATCGGGCACGGTTTTGTCTCCACCATGGCTGCCTTTGATTTCGGTCTGTCTCCCTTTCCTTTGCCTGTCCACCATTCGGGGTAACCAATCCTCTTGAAACATCCATCTCGATCGTGCCCTTTTCTTCCACATTGACTGCAAGGTTCAATGGAGGTGGTGCCCTTTTCAGTTTTTATCAACCCTTTTTCTTGCTGGTTACAAGCTTGGTCTCGCCGCCCTTGAAAACTCGCTTGAAAGGCAGCCATTTCACGGATGGGTTTCTTTGTAGTAGTGATCATATGCCGCTGTTCATCCTCCGCCACAAGGTGATAGACAATGCTCAGTTTTGGTGTTGGTTTCATGGCCAATATTTATGTTTTGATAACATTAAACTGGTCATCAAGTCCCATGAGAAACTCATAAGTCCTTTCCTTCTCTTTCAATTTTGTTAGTTTCTTTGAAAGTCCAAACGAGCAGCCATTGCAGGAACACTGAGGAATGGGCATAATTTTCTCCATTTCGTCCCACAGAACACGAAGCTTGGTATAGTGTGTTGATATGGTGGCGTCATCTTGCCGGGTGTTGTTAAGGGACTGCTTTAGTTCGTATGCCTTGGGAGCACTCTCCTTCCCAAAGTGTTCCTTCAAGTCTTGCCAGATCTCTGCTGTTGTTTTCGCGTATTTTACGTTGTTTCATATCTCTTTCTCCATGGGCGTAGTCAACCAACCTTTGATCGTTGCAGCGTAACGCATCCAAGGTAGGTATTTGTCTGACCCTATCTCCAGTCTTTTGATTGTGCCATCAATGAAGCCGGTTTTATTCTTGGCGAACAAGAAGTTCATCATTTCTTGTTCCCAATCGTTGTAGTTCTTGTCGGTAAGCACTTCATTTACGTGCATCTGTTTCGGGTAGTCGGAAGCGTGTAGGTAGAGAGGAGAGTTATGATCGATGCACTCCTTTTCATTTTTATTCTTTGTTGAGTCGTTGTCGGCCATAGGGTTGGCTAGGGTTTTGTTTTCTGAGGTTTCTGGATTGACCGCTCTGATACCATAAACAAATTGATACCAAAATGGGTTAATCACATTATCACAAAAGCAATCTACATATAAAACAGTGGGCAAAAGAAAGAAACTATAATTAAGGGGTATACATGAGAGAGAAAGAGAGAGAGAGAGAGAGAGAGAGAGAGAGGGGGGGAGGGAGATGGTTTCAAATATATATATATATATATATATATATATATATATATATATAATATATATATATATCTTGTCAGCAATTGTATAAGTTCTCTAGAATTAGAAAGGAAAATTATCAGAAAAATCCTAATATTTTCAGGAAAGTTACACTTTAGTCCCAATATTTTTTTTTGGAACAAAAAAGTCCCGATTATTTCATTTTGGCTCAAGTTTACAAAAAAATCATTTTTTCTTTTAACAGGAAATGACATATTGTCGTGTTTTTAAAAATAATCGGGACTTTAATGTTCAAAAAAGAAAATTTTGGGACTAAAATGTAACTTTCCTGAAAATATTGGGACTTTTCTGACAATTTTCCAATTAGAAATTATAATGTATGAGTAAACCTAATCACATGATTTTGTTTTTCCTAAGAACCAAAATATACACTATTCGTCACCCTTTCGCGAGTGCATGGACTAAAATTCACATTTAATGGACATAATTGCTCTTAGGTTAACTACGATTCCTTTCCTGTAGCAAACAGTCCAGATCGTAACCCTGCTACAAAATGGCACACCATCATATAGGACCCGGGTTTTAGAAAAAAAGGGGTTATATTATCTTAAATATCACACGTATTGCTAGCGAGAGTTGGTATTGCCTCGGGCCCATATGCAAATAAACCACTCAACATCGATTCAGATTTGCCTTGGATTTGTGTCGAATGATAGGTTCTTGATATTAAACAACTACCATACGTACCCACCATCCATATTGATTCATCGAGCACATGGTTTTACCAACATTCATTCAAGAACTCAAAGCCACATATAGGGCACCTTCTGTTGTCTTTAATTACGTACACTTGATCAGTTGAAAAAACTTAAGGCGTAAATTAATACATCTATATGTTAACACAGTTATTTAATCCCCCATCTAATCCCATCTGGGATTAATTAACCTGCATGCATGACCTATTGATTATCGGGTGATGATCTAAAGTACATTCATATTTTCGTTATCATATAAGAAGGATCATGTTCAGTGGTGATAAATGGTTGACAAATTCTTGTACATTAAATATACTTTTAATTTGTATCCACGCAATGTTGAATTGTGGTTCACAAATCACACTATCCTTGCTAATTGTGTGAACCAGTTGTTTGGACCCATATGTGACCCAACCATCCGACAACAATGTAATTATGTTTGGTTTACCTTACACCTTGTGTTGCCGCATCGTCCTTTCTCACTACATATCAATAGCTAGAATTATGAGAGTCTCTAATGCTGTTATATATATAAGCAAATACACTTTCTCAAAACAAATCAATCAAGAAGGTTCATAACTCGAATTTTGAGTGAATCTTCTCCCTATCTATCTACTTAATCTAAGGTTTCATAAAAATGATAAACCCCACCAAACTCATCAGAAGTGCAGGAGTACTAAAGCAGAAACGAATCACACTCCCAAGAGCCGCTAACCCCACAACCAGAGGCATTGATAAGGGTCACTTTGCAGTGTACACATGTGATGAAATACGGGTTGTGTTGCCTTTGGGTTATCTAAAGAACGACATATTTCAAGAGCTCTTGAAGGTGGCTGAGGATGAGTATGGGCTGCAGACAGATGGACCAATCAGGCTCCCGTTCGAAGCCACATTTATAAGTACATGATATTTTTGATAGAAAGGTCTGTGTGTAATGGTATTGAGAAAGCACTTCTCATGTCTTTAATTACGCCAGAAAAGTGCTTATTGAGTTGGAACATTCAACTAGAACATAGTGAATCCCAAGTGCCAGTTTCTAGCTTTTGAGAGGAGTTGAAGTGTTATTTTTTACTAAATGTATAGCGACAGAATATTGTAGCATCATACAGACACTTCAATCATGAGATCTGTTAACTGTATTTTCATTTGTTTATAGATATTAACAAATAACGTCTTTTCTCTTACTTCGGGACATTCAGGGTCTCAGGGAGCTTGTTAATCAAATGGCTATATTTGAAAACCGACCTTGCTGATTTCAGAGGTGAATAAAAAACAGATTAAACAGATGATTTATTTTTTTAAAAGGCTATGGAATATTCATGAATCACGCACATGAAAACCCAATAGATAAGTAAACAAGTTAAATAATTAACAATAGCAAAACTTATAGGAACCAAAAAAAAAAAAAAAAAGATATACTAAACTGATAAAATGACAAAGGAAAAAAGCTCATGTCCATGCTTTGTTTATTTTTGAAAAAAAAAAATAACATTATTTGAGTTTGACTTCAACAAATTCCTAACATAAACTCAAATCTCTTCCTTCCATCACTCCCATCTTCGTCTTGCAACTTTGAACAACTCCTTTTGGAGTGACTTTGTAAAATTGGAATATATATATATATATATATATATATATATATATATATATATATATATATATATATATATTCCAATTGTGTGGTTGTAAGGACAATTCTAAACCAACAGATGAAAAATCAAGAATGGTTATGATCTAGGGTCTATAGTATTACAGTGGAATAGCATGTACCATATAATAACATAAAATTCATTGAAATTATATTTTAGTCAATTTAGCTAGATTTAAAAAAGGCAAATTACGGAATTTATGGATACTTTTTCTTATTTTTAAAAACTCTGATTTTGAAGGATAATCATTCTTTTAATTCGAAAATCTGAAAAAATATGTTTGTAACTATGGTGTGCATTCTGACAGAATATATTTAAGAATATGAAATCAACTTTTTCTTTTTACAAAATATCTATTCTAAGCAGAATGTAATACATAAAAACATTTTTTATACTAATAACATATTAAATAATTACATTCTATAAAGTAGTCTACATCAAAAAATTGAAAAATCTGAAAACCAATAACAATATTTAATTTTGCATTCTTGAAGAATGAGATACAAAAACTCGTTCTGTGATAATGGCAACAATAGAATCGAATTCTAGGTCTTCTTCATCTGGATTTTTAATGAAGTTGTAGGTGGTAAAACTAGCAGAATCCATCATCTTCTTTTGTATATCTCTCAATTTCATTGAGAGGATAAAAATGCTTTTGTTCTTGACTTCTTGAATGTCCGACTATTGAGATGTATGGAATCATTATTCGCTTCTTGATTTTCGAAATATGTGGTATTCTAGAATCAATCTTGGATTCTTCAATCATTCTTGGTTTTACGAAACTATAAACAAATATGAAGAACATCAACATTAACTATAATCAATATTTTAAATTACAACCAACACATATGACAATCCTTAAACCAAATTCACAAATTACAGTCCAATCTTCCAAAATAGAATGCATACCACATTATATTGTCATAAGATTCTAATAGAATGAATGGTTGTATATTATAACAAAATGATGTTATTTTAACCGAATGATCATTTAAATATTCTAATAGAATGATTTTATGCGTATTCTACACACATATTGATGTTACTGTATCTAATTTGTTCTTTGGTTATGTCCATCAAAGACCTATTAAACACATACAAGCATGTATATACACATCAGATCTTGTCAAGTGAAATACAAGTATAACTCTTAAAGATAAACATTGGTCACATATTTTCTTGAAAAATTATACTCAACCACAGATCAAGAAGAAGATCGTTGGTATCTACTATCTAGTAGTATTACTATGACCGGAAGATAATGAGAAAAAAATATGTAAACAAAACTTAATTAACTAAATTAGAAAAAGGGGGAAAGAAAATAACATACCTGCATAAGATAAGAGGTGTACGAGATAGTGGAATCAAGCAAAACAGTTAGATTTACAGAAAGAAAACTAGAAATTATAATAGTGAGAAACAATTAGAAAACCTCGGTTGAAACAAATGTAAGAAACATTTAGATTTACGGAAAGAAAACTAGAAATTATAATAGTGAGAGAATAGGGGCTGACCTTTTCCAAAAAATCCCGATAATACCTCCCCAACTTCTAAAATGGCAGCCAAATAATGGGCATGTGATTGGATAAACTTATCCTTCATCGTAAAAATAAATTGCTTGTGCTTCCTTTTCGTGTCTTCATTGTTCCCCATGCCCATCTTGCCAGTCATATCATCACACGAACGAGAGTGAAAGTGGAATTGAGGACGAACGGTGAGGAGGGTTGTCGGTAAACTTCTCGCTTTTATTTGAGGTTGAAGCGAATCATCCGATTCAGAGGCGACAATGAACATCAGATGGGTAGGTTTCAAAATCGCCAAACTTCAACTATGACCATCGAACAATGGCGCGCTTGCTTAATTGGGTCTTGTTAACACTTGTAGACGAATCATATATCGATGGACTGTGAACCTCCTTATCAAGAATTTTGAAACAGTGAAGGATTGTTATTATTTTGAGGAAGCGACGGATTGAAGGAGATTTGACCTAGAACAGATAAGTGTGCAACCAATGAACCTTTCATCCTCTTCTGCGTTTCTTTTCTTCTACTATTGATCCCCTCCCTCTTCAAGATCATTCTCCTCATCATCTGATCGATGGTGATGTAGAGGATGGTGTCATGGTGTTGATGAAGTCGACTTAGGGTTATCGATGGCAGCCATGCTTTAAAGGGATTCATCCATGATTTAAGGAATTTAATTTTGGTTATTATTAAATTTATATGTAATATCACTTACCTGCCCTTATTAGATTATTTAATTATTTATTCTTTTTCTAAAATCTGATTGGTTCTTACAACCACACAATAGTTATTGATCCACATATGAACCTAGCTCTCTCTCTCTCTCTCTCTCTATATATATATATATATATATATATATATATATATATATAGATATATATAATATATATATATATTATATATATATATATATATATATATACATATATAATCTTAATAAAAGAATCCAATTGTCACATGGCACTCCACAGATCGTTTTTCTTCAAATGTGAATTTACTCTAATACCCATCATTCCTTTTTTTCCGTTATTTTGCCCTTCAATTTATATAGAATTTATTTCGGTTCCATTTTATTTAGCAATTGATAAGTGACTTATCTTTATTTTTGAACTTCCAATTATAAATGGTTTAATTTGGTAAGCTTTAAAATCACACTACTAACCAACAATGTAAATAAATCATATTATATTAAACTAGGTGTGAGACCCGTGTACTACACAAGTTTATTAAACATAAAAGTTTTATATTAAGATGTAAACATTAAATATTTTTAATGCCTACTTCATTTCAAACTTTAACAAAATATATTTTATTATATCTCAATTTTGACAATATTGTTTTATAATATTTCATTATTTTAATTATCTAACAAAAAATCATAATAAATGATTTTAGTGGTAGAAAAAACAAACTATTTATTATTATATTCATTTTATGGGGAAATATATATTTATCTTAAATAATAAATGTTTCATTAGTTATAGTGTTGATCTACACATTTAATATAATAAATACTTTACATATATAATAACAAATGTGTTAATTAGTGGAATTGATTAATTTTTTATTAATAAAAAAATGAAAATACCACATAAAGACAGGTGAAATTTAAGTAATTCAAAAATCACACATAATGACATATGACAAAAATCCTGAGGAAATGACAAGTGGTAAAAATATTTTTGTTTATTAGGATAGGATGTCTATATTGGATATTCAACTAAAAATATATGTTAATTTTAAATAATCAATATAATAGTCTAAACAAACCTTATATCTTATTAGCTTAATAAAATTTTATAAATTTTATACATGTGGTTTTCACAGGATGTAACCTAGTGTGTGTATATATATAGATATATATATATATATATATATATATATATATATATATATATATATATATATATATAGGGTTAAGTTCAATGAGAACATTATTTAATGTGAGAACATGAGAACACTACTTTATGTTATTATTCTACTATGAATTTAATATGTATAGTATTGTAGTAATTATAATATGAATATATTCAATTTTTTATTGTTATTCTACTATAATATACATATATATATATATAATATATATATAATATATATATATATCTATATATATATATATATATATATATATATATATTATATATATATATATATATGTAGTAATTTAGTAAATTCTAATGTGAATGTTAAATATGTGATTTGTTCATATATTCGTTGATGAATAATGTCATAAGTTGTACATACGTTTAAAGTGAACAAAATTGTTCGTATATTTGTTGATCTCATGTCCATATCGTTGTATATACCAAAATCATAGTAGAATAGTAAAGTGTTAGTCGTCATTTGTTCTCACATTAAATCGTGTTCTCATTGTGAACTGTACCCTATATATTCTATATTATATATATATATATATATATATATATATATATATATCTATATATATCTATTATATATATATATCTATATAGCCGTTTACCCGCGCTAAGCGACGGGTACGAATAATTTTTTCAAAAATTAATTTCTATAGGCGATTAGTTTCCTTTCGGTGGGCCTTTAAGGTTTATGTTGATTTATAGTCTACGTCTTAAGGATTTATCATTTTCAAGGAGAAGCTTAGTTTTTTTACGAAACATGTCATAATCCTAAAAACACACTGGGGAAACAATTTTACTCAGGAAAATTTTCAAAATTTCATAATTTTAGGTATATTCGTGAATTTGCGATCAAAATCC